TATACCACTGTTGCAAATGTGCCCCCCGCCATGGCACGGTATACCACTGTTACAACTGTTGCAATTACGAAAATATGACTCGCAATATCGCAGTTCTGTATTGGACAAAGTGCGTGTTTTGCGTATCCGATCTTCTAACATCGCAATAGCATGTATTAAATATAGCTTGATAACAATTAGTACTTTAATGATGATGTCTATTCGGAAATGTCTCTATCTTTTTCGTTATCTATTCAAAACATTTGTCTTCGCCCTATGTTTCACTCTGACAGCTAAATGACATATATTTCAGATTGAGCTGGAAAATATCGCCGCTGTTTTACTTTGTCTAGGCTTATCGAGAAAAGGGCGAAATAGACCAAACAGAAACTATGGGGACAATTTCCAAGTACAGTGCAATAATAATAATAATAGTAATAATAATTATAAACTTTATTTATTTTACAACAATTGCGCAACAAGTTTTTCCAACTTATATTAATCACTCTTGTTGGCCCGGATGTAAGGGCGCGAGGGGTCTTACTGTGCGAGGAAACCGGAGTACCCGGGGAAAACCCACGCGGATGGCTAGGTGAAAGGCGAGTGCAATACCACTGCGCCATCAGACCAAGTATAGAGTAAGGATATGTCAGATATGATTTTAATAGATAAATTAGATGTTTAACGATAATATCCAGCTGTGTGTTTTGTTTAATGATGAAGACAGAAAAAAAATCCATCTTATTCCGATCGCGACATCTAAAACGAATACCCAGAACTTCAAATTCCCTCGGATAATGGAAATTGACAAGAAGGAATCAAAGTTCCCCTTGGGTAATGGAAACTGACAAGAAGGAATCAAAGTTCCCCTTGAGTAATGGAAACTGACAAGAAGGAATCAAAGTTCCCCTTGGATAATGGAAACTGACAAGAAGAAATCAAAGTTCGTTACAATTATATATAGATAATCGTCTGAATGGCCTGGTATAGGGATCAAAGCCCAATTCTGGTTACTTATTACAAGTATTACAAGATTTTGTGGTAGGTATATATTTGTAGAGGTTGAGTGTACAGTCACTTCCTTTCATTCGAGTGGAAGAATGTCCGCCTAAATACCGCAACCCAACAAATTCAGTCCCATCTTCTCTTTAAAGTCTTCTTAAGATGTCGATTTTATTTTCTTGTCGGTTTAAACAATCTATCAGTGGGCTATCTACATTGTAGTGTATTTTGGTAGTTTGGATTTACGAAAGCAAACTTGTATCTACATATACAAACAATACATATGTATACATATATTATCGTTTACATATATTATCGTTTGTCCTTGGACTCAACCTGGGGAAACCGGTATTGCGATGTCGTCTCCACTACCTGTGTCGAAGGGTGCTGTGTAGAATTAAGTATGAATATTAAGGCTATCATAAAAGATGATCTTGCACGAAACAAATAATTCAAGTTATTTGTATCAATTTTTTTAGAGAAGAAACAATCGTCTCATTTTTTCAGATTATTGATGGTGTTTAACGGCTAAGTGGTATATTTACGATATTTTGAATAGACAAGAGAGTATTCCTTTCTACGTCTGCTACAGCATATCCCACTAAACGGAAGTCGACGAAATGAAAACAAAACATGAACTAGAAGAGTAGAAAGAGAAAAAAACAAGGTGGTTCGGAGTAGTAAGCGTCTTCTGCTTCTTTGTTCTTTCGGTAGAAGGTAAATGGTACAGAACAGAGATTATGAGTACAGGGTAAGGGGCAGGAGATACAGGATGAAACAGTTCAAGGTAGAGGATACAGGGATAGGGGTACAGGGCGAGGGGTACAAGGTTAAGGGTACAGGGCGAGGGGTACAAGGTTAGGGGTACAGGATTAGGGGTACAAGGTAAGGGGAACAAGGTAAGGGGTACAGGGTAAGGGGTACAGGGTTAGGGGTACAGGGTTAGGGGTACAAGGTAAGTGGTACAAGGTAAGGGGTACAGCATTAGGGGTACAAGGTAAGGGTTACAGGGTAAGCGGTACAGAGTAAGGGATACAAGGTAAGGGGTACAGGGTAAGGGATACAGGGTAAGGGGTACAGGGTAAAGGTTACAGGGTAAGGGATACAGGGTACGGGATACAGGGTACAGGGTAAGGGGTACGGGGTAAGGAGTACAGGGTAAGTGATACAAGGTAAGGGATACAAGGTAAGGGGTACAGAGTAAGGGGTACAGGGTAAGGGGTACAGGGTAAGTGATACAAGGTAAGGGATACAAGGTAAGGGGTACAGAGTAAGGGGTACAGGGTAAGGGGTATAGGGTAAGGAGTACAGGGTAAGTGAAACAAGGTAAGGGATACAAGGTAAGGGGTACAGGGTACGGGGTACAGTTTAAGGGGTACAAGGTAAAGGGTACAGGGTAAGTGATACAAGGTAAGGGATACAAGGTAAGGGGTACAGAGTAAGGGGTACAAGGGTAAGGGGTACAGGGTAAAGGATACATGTTAAGGGGTACAGGGTAAGGGGTACAAGGTAAGGGATACAGGGTAAGGGGTACAGAGTAAAGGATACATGTTAAGGGGTACAGGGTAAAGGATACAAGGTAAGGGATACAAGGTAAGAGATACAGTTTAATGGGTATAAGGTAAAAGGTACTGGGTAAGGGATACAGGGTAAGGGGTATAGTGCTGTGTAAATATTAGATTGCACATCGCGGTAACTAATACTAGTATCTGTAAGGTTTTGGTATGTATCATGATTAATTCATACAAAGAATGTATCTACAGATAATGGTTAACATAAATGTTATTATGATGAAATTATTCGGACCTGGACTTGTATGGCATGTACATTGAACATTCTACCCAATCTAATTAACTCTCCCCACACTCGAGCTCACGTCAAACCATTTTAAGAACCAGTCGAAGTGTATGAGACTCAACAGTGAAAATTATTTTAGATCTATAAAAAAAAATACCAGCATACAACCATTTGAAGTAATGTGTTTAATGTATTGAAACATTTCATTTTTCCGTCTTAATCCATCATGTCTCCGAGGCATGAAATTTCATCTTGTTTGTTTACAAAGCTAATGCAGGTACTAGTCAGAATATATAGTGCCTGTTGGAAACCTCTCCATCTATCTGGGTTTTAAAAAATGGAATAATTTATTTCCGTCTGACACGACCTTGGCGATGAATGCATTTCGTGCAATGTATTTAACGCAAATATACATCTACTTTCTGGGCCATTTTTTCTTTTTTTTTTTTTTGTTTAAACGGGTATTTTATTTGGTTAAACAAGTATGATTTGTCCGTAATTTGCATAAGCATACATTGCCCGTTTTATCGTCTATGCTTCGTCACGTGCCCTCCTTAAGAGGTAATATCGTGGTCGTAATGCAGTTAACTGCAATTTTAGGTACATAATTAGGGCGTATTTAACCCTCGGCCGTCGTGACACGACGCGACACCTCCACGGAACATCTCCACGGGACACCGCGTCTTTGTTTACTGACCAAGTTCCTGTAGTGAACATCAGGAAAACTGAATGAAATTATTTTCAAGCATCATTATTAGATCTAGCTTGTGAATTTTTGGTAATTTTGTGTGTAACCAATTTCCGTCATGGCTGAGATGCGCACCAGTGGTAATACAAATGAGTCGCACTCTGAATTGGTCTCACAACTTTCGTTCAAACAGAAGTCCGGCCTGGGCCGCTGGTCAGCGTTTTTGGCAGTAGTAGCCATAGTAGTCATCGTCGCTTTGGCCATCGCACTAGGAATTGTCGCTGGGACAGATCACAAGGAAAATGACAGCTCATCGTCCTCCGCGTCGTCAGAAATGTCCTGTCAGCTGAGCACACCCGACTGTTTCTCTCACGAGGGTTCGGCAGACAGGAACCTGGACGTAGCTAAATGTGTGCTGGAAAGCTACCCCCTTATTGACGGGCAAGTATTAACACATTTTTTCCTCACAGTAAAAAGTTCATTTATAATGATAGCTTAAATAAATAAATACGACAGGTTTTGAAGCTATATTTCGGTGAAAAGTTTGTGTTGTGAGAATGTTTAGTAATATGAGTCTGTTAAAAGAAATATCAAAATTTCGGTAAATTTCTCATTAAGATTTGTCCCCGCCCAGACATGGTATGACGTCATCAGTATTTATGATTCCCCCAGAATACCGCTGTCGGCGACATGCCCACAACTGTCGGCGAAACTACCATAGATCGCACGACGCCACATCGACACGTAGTAGAAATTCCCCCAGATCGTCCGACATACCCACGACTGTCGGCGAAACTACCATAGATCGTACGACGCCACATCGACGGGTTGTAGAAAGTCCCCCAGATCGTCCGACATACCCACGACTGTCGGCGAAACATCGACACGTATAGATCGTCCGACATACCCACGACTCGAAACACGTCGTACGACGCCAGAAATTCCCCCAGATCGTCCGACATACCCACGACTGTCGGCGAAACTACCATAGATCGTACGACGCCACATCGACACGTAGTAGAAATTCCCCGTCCGACATCGTCCGACATACCCACGACTGTCGGCGAAACTACCATAGATGTCGGCGAAACTACCATACGACGCCTCATCGACACGTAGTAGAAATTCCCCCAGATCGTCCGACATACCCACGACTGTCGGCGAAACTACCATAGATCGTACGACGCCACATCGACACGTAGTAGAAATTCCCCCAGATCGTCCGACATACCCACGACTGTCGGCGAAACTACCATAGATCGTACGACGCCTCATCGACACGTAGTAGAAATTCCCCCAGATCGTCCGACATACCCACGACTGTCGGCGAAACTACCATAGATCGTACGACGCCACATCGACACGTAGTAGAAATTCCCCCAGATCGTCCGACATACCCACGACTGTCGGCGAAACTACCATAGATCGTACGACGCCACATCGACACGTAGTAGAAATTCCCCCAGATCGTCCGACATACCCACGACTGTCGGCGAAACTACCATAGATCGTACGACGCCACATCGACACGTAGTAGAAATTCCCCCAGATCGTCCGACATACCCACGACTGTCGGCGAAACTACCATAGATCGTACGACGCCACATCGACACGTAGTAGAAATTCCCCCAGATCGTCCGACATACCCACGACTGTCGGCGAAACTACCATAGATCGTACGACGCCACATCGACACGTAGTAGAAATTCCCCCAGATCGTCCGACATACCCACGACTGTCGGCGAAACTACCATAGATCGTACGACGCCACATCGACACGTAGTAGAAATTCCCCCAGATCGTCCGACATACCCACGACTGTCGGCGAAACTACCATAGATCGTACGACGCCTCATCGACACGTAGTAGAAATTCCCCCAGATCGTCCGACATACCAACGACTGTCGGCGAAACTACCATAGATCGTACGACGCCACATCGACACGTAGTAGAAATTCCCCCAGATCGTCCGACATACCCACGACTGTCGGCGAAACTACCATAGATCGTACGACGCCACATCGACACGTAGTAGAAATTCCAACAGATCGTCCGACATACCCACGACTGTCGGCGAAACTACCATAGATCGTACGACGCATCATCGACACGTAGTAGAAATTCCCCCAGATCGTCCGACATACCCACGACTGTCGGCGAAACTACCATAGATCGTGCGACGCCACATCGACACGTAGTAGAAATTCCCCCAGATCGTCCGACATACCCACGACTGTCGGCGAAACTACTATAGATCGTACGACGCATCATCGACACGTAGTAGAAATTCCCCCAGATCGTCCGACATATCCACGACTGTCGGCGAAACTACTATAGATCGTACGACGCCACATCGACACGTAGTAGAAATTCCCCCAGATCGTCCGACATACCCACGACTGTCGGCGAAACTACCATAGATCGTACGACGCCTCATTGAATAGTATAAATTTCTCTAGATATCGGCGTCATTTAGTCCTGAAATATCTTTGTTCCTGGTTAAATATGTAAATATTGGGTGTCATTTAGTCCTTTAAGATATCGGCATTATCGCTTGTTATTCAGGCTACAGAAGTAAATGTACATTACACTCCGTATACAGATCATAGCTCTTTTAGGAATCTCTTTAGGAAGAAACTGGTTTGTGACTTTTTCAGGTGTTTGTTTTAATCTTTAAAACTAAACTAGAGGGTCTTTATATACCAAGCGAAAAGTATTTGTGTGTTGTAATTAAAACCAGATAAACTGTGGGACCAAATTTATTTTTCCTCGACACTTTCCTGCTTCTGTTGTTGTTGTTTGCTGTTGTTGTTTGTTTGTTTTTGTTGTTTGATGTTGTCGTCGTCGTTTTACATGCTGTTGTTGATTTCACGTTTATTTCTCTCTCACTAAAATAAAGTTATCAATCTTCTGTTATACAGCCACAATGACCTGGCCTACCAGTACTACAGTAATGTGGATAACAAAGTTTACAGTGTCAACATGCGGGAAGATCTACGACAGGTCTGGCCAAACGCATCCGTTCATACCGATATACCCAGGATAAAGGAAGGGCGACTAGGGGCTCAGGTACACTAACGGATATTTTACTCAATCGACAGCAACACATACTAAAATCAAACAAAGTATGTACAAAATAACAAATACAGTGTACAATCTTTACCAAGGGGAAAATACTCACAACATTGAGTGTGTACTCACTACACAGAGACACATACATGTATACTCACAATACACACATTTGTAGATTGTGTTCTCACTACACAGGGACAAATACTCACAACACATAGATCACACACACACAAATTGTGTTCTCACTACACAGGGACAAATACTCACACACACAGATTATGTTCTCACTACACATGGACAAATACTCACAACACACAGATTGTGTTCTCACTACACAGGGACAAATACTCACACACACAGATTATGTTCTCACTACACATGGACAAATACTCACACACACAGATTATGTTCTCACTACACATGGACAAATACTCACAACACATAGATTGTGTTCTCACTACACAGGGACAAATACTCACACACACACAGATTGTGTTCTCACTACACAGGGACAAATACTCACAACACACAGATTGTGTTCTCACTACACAGGGACAAATACTCACACACGCACACAGATTATGTTCTCACTACACAGGGACAAATACTCACAACACACAGATTGTGTTCTCACTACACAGGGATAAATACACACACACAGATTGTGTTCTCACTACACAGGGACAAATACTCTCACACACACAGATTGTGTTCTCACTGCACATGGACAAATACACACACAGATTGTGTTCTCACTACACATGGACAAATACTCTCGCACACACACAGATTGTGTTCTCACTACACAGGGACAAATACTCTCACACACACAGATTGTGTTCTCACTACACAGGGACAAATACTCTCTCACACACACACAGATTGTGTTCTCACTACACAGGGACAAATACTCTCACACACACAGATTGTGTTCTCACTACACAGGGACAAATACTCACACACGCACACACAGATTGTGTTCTCACTACACAGGGACAAATACTCTCATACACAGAGATTGTGTTCTCACTACACAGGGACAAATACTCTCACACACAGAGATTGTGTTCTCACTACACAGGGACAAATACTCTCACACACACAGATTGTGTTCTCACTACAGAGGGACAAATACTCTCACACACAGATTGTGTTCTCACTACACAGGGACAAATACTCTCACACACACACAAATTGTGTTCTCACTACACATGGACAAATACTCTCACACACACAGATTGTGTTCTCACTACACAGGGACAAATACTCACAATGTGTAATATACATAGCTTGGCTTCGATAGTCTTTTTACTTGACTTTTTCTGTTTTTAGTTCTGGGCCTGTTACGTGTCCTGTGATACCCAGTATAAGGACGCTGTTCGCCGATCTCTCGATCAGTTGGACACCATTAAAAAGTTTACAAGTAAATACCCGGATGTGTTTGAATTTGTTACCTCTGCCCAAGGTGAGTACGCAGACACCATTTTGTTTTCACCACATGTATAATATAGATTTGTTTGTTTCTATTCCACTTTTATTATTACTATTATTTATTTTACTGATTTGGTTTTTTCTCATGCCCCCGAATAGAAAGATCGGGGCATATTGTTTTAGTGTTGTTTGTTTGTTGTCAACTTTAACCTTACCCATAACTATTGCACTGTCAGAGGTAAAGCTTTCATATTTGGCCTGTCTGTTCCTTGTGACAAGACCTTTCCGGTGGTACCAAATATTTTGAAAATGTGACCTTGATCGTGACCTTCAACCTACATTTGAAAATTTAAAAATATCATTTCCACAATGAAGACATCAGTGTTTCACTATTAGCACATGTCTTACACAGTGCAGTTTTGATGCCCCACTTCAGGATTTTTGTTGCAACCGGGAGCATAGTGTTTCATAAACACGTCTTGTCGTTTCTGTTTTTTGTTTTTTTGTTTTTGTTTTTTATTTTTTTTTTTTTGAGGGGGGGATTGTTTTGTTTTATTTTTAGTTGTTTGTTTTCCTTTCTTTCTTTCTTTTTTTGTGTTTCTTTTTCTTTTTTGTTATTTGTTGTTTTTTGTTTTGTATTTTTACTTAATTTTGTTTTCATTTGCTTCTTGTTTGTCATATCAGAACATAGTAGTCGTTCGCCAAGAGTTACGTCCCCTTCACATCTTCGTCGTAACAGGCTTCCCATTAGAAAGATACGACATTTGGCATGTTTTTATTAAAGTTAAGGTACAAATGGTTGTTGCTACATCTATTACATTTCGTGACAACGACACAAGGATGTTTTATGCATGCTCCAGTAGTTATAATGAAAAGCAATCAAAGGAAACATCCGTAAAATTACTCGAGTTCATCTTGCAGCTTGCTGCTATTACAACGTGAAACACCATGGCGGACGAACGGGTTTCCCCAAGTTCAATATAGGTTGCTATAAATATTTATCCAATAAGCTATTACGCTCGCTATGACGCATTAGGGATTTAATCCCATCTGTCAAATGAAATTGGTCAACAGAAAATCTATTTTAAGCCCGTAATTACCGGCATGACGATGCAGTGTTGATGCAAATAGACGCCTTCAGAAATAGTTCCGGGCCAAGGAAAAACGGACCAATGACAACAAAATTGAAACAGTAACTTTATTAACAACAATAGATTGACATTCCTTGTCAAATAAAGCATATATCAAAACTAGATATACATATATCCATTATCAAAAGCCATCACTCCACAACTATTTTTTTATTTAAAACGAAGTCAGAAACACTTGCATATTTATATGTCGCCAGAATGGCTTGTCTAGATAATTAAGATAATAAAAATAATTTCGAAAAGTCCCTGTGATTTTGCTACTTCTGGTTATTAATTTTGTAAATATGCCTTTTTTTCTCACTTGATGTACAAAATATTGCCCCATTAGGATATTCTGACAAGGTGAAGTTAACGACGCCATCAAAAGACCATGGCTGCAATAGTAATAATGGTATTGACTTATCTGCAAATAAATTGGCAACCATACAACTTAATGCTAGAATCACTGTAATTCCTCCACCAGTATGAGTGATTTACATTATTCTGATAGTGTAACAAACAAGCTCTGTCCCGTCAGTTTATCCTAATAGGGATCTATGAAGGTATAATGGAATGCTGACAATATTCATATATTGAACAATCATTTTAATTTGTCACACGAAAAAAAAAAAAAAAAACAAGAGCCTGTTTCAGGTCACGAAATACGCCTGTGATTTTGTCTGACTATCACCTACACTATTTATGCTGTATATAATATATTGCATTTGTTTCAATGGTAATTGCGTAATACTTTGCAAAGTTATTGCACCGACATTGAAAAGGTTACAGACATTAATGGGCCGTAACTCTAAAAATTGTGGATCAAAAATCATGGAAATCAAACTCAATCTAGCTTTGATTGTACTTAAGCTTGCAATGAAAGTTAAAAGAAATCTGTTAAGGCTTAATAAATTCCAAAATCGCTGGGACATTGAAATGTTTACGAACAGAGGGACATACGGACGGAAGATGGACGGATGGAAGACGAGAATACCATAATATGTCCTGTCATTTGACGGATGTATAAAATACATAAATATCAAACAAAAAAAAGAAGTAAATAAATGTAAAGATCATAAATCTAAAATAATAAGCAAAATCACTTGAGGTACGCATATTGTGCATAAAAATACATTGAAAAATTAATTTAAGATTAGAAACAAGAGGCCCATGGGCCTTATCGGTCACCTTAGAATCAATCACTTCACAAGCAATGGTAAGAACTGACAGTATTTCTGATATTGATTTACATTTATTATTAACAGCTAATAGTTGTCTGCTGTTTAAAGAATTATAAAAAAAATCATCACATGTTTTGTTTTTTATTTGTCTATTTCATTATATCTAGGAACATTTATCTTATAGTGATATAGTGACAGCTGTCAGTTGCTCACTTATTATGAGTCCATACTAGTTTATGGAGAAATTACTGAAATTAGCATGTCTATGTGTGCTTGATGATGAAGATAATGATGTTGACTGTGTCTAAGAATCTGCAGCATCCTTATGCATGGAAGTTAAAGTGTGTGAAGAAGCTGATAATGAGGATGTGTGATGCTGCTGTGTGATGCTGCTGATGTTGGTATATATGATGATGTTGAGGTGTGACGATGCTGATTTGGTATGTGATAATGCGGATGTGTAATGCTGCTGAAGTGTGATGATGCTAATGTTGATAGGTGACCATAATGATGCTGATGGTATGTGATGATGCTAATGTGTGACGAGGATGATGATTGTATATGATGACGTTGATGTCAGATGCTGATGTTGTTTGTATATGAAACAATGCTGGAGTGCTAGTATGGCTGCAAGTTATAAATATATGTTTAGAGTGATTGTGTTACATAGTGTCTATGATAGTTAAGATATAGTGTGCAACTCAAAATGCTGTGTGTTTAGTGGTGAAAATGATGCATGACTATACTCTGTAAGTGTGTGACGATGGGAGTTATAGACTGATAGTATATATGAATCTATTTATTCCTCATGTGTTTTTCGATAAATAAAAAATAAACAAATATATATAAATAAATAAAAATAAAATTGATATTATCCCTGTTAATAATTAACATTTAAAATTACTTTTGCTAAATGATTCTCTTGGCATGTTTAAATGGGTTAAAATTTCCCTTGCACCGGTTGCAGTGCGCTTCCATAAAATTCTACAACGATACTACGCGATCTCTAAAAACTACAGCTCAAGCACCATTTCATCAATTAAATAATATTAATATAATACCAAAAGAACTATTACTTACGCATAAGAACTCACCACAGTTCCCCTGTAAGCAATTTCTTTCCGTGAGGTGCGCGTAATACCCGCCATGCTTGCATAAAAATAAAATCAAGTAGGAAAGCTCCGTGCGGGGAGGTAACTCTGCACGAACGTCAAAAATATTCTGATATGTTTTGTATTTTTGAATTATTTTTGTGTTTGTGGGGCTGTTGTTGTTTTTTGTTTGTTTGTTTTTTATTGGGGGTTGTTTTTATATATTTGTTTGACGTTGTTTGTTCGTTTGTTTGTTTTCGACATCACATTTAATCACTTTAGGTATTCTGGACGCGTTTGCTCGGGGAAAATTCTCAAGTCTCGTGGGTTTGGAGGGAGGCCATTCAATCGACAGCAGTCTGGCTAATCTGCGCATGTTCTACGACCTCGGGGTCAGATACATGACCATCACACACAGTTGCAACACACCGTGGTCAGTTTGTATCAAGAATTAAATAGGTTACCTAGGTTACGTTATTGCCTTCCCGTATTAGCAGGATATAATGAGCTCTTTGTGATCAAGGAGATGTACATTTACATCATGTTGCACGGCTTGTTTCATTGCTCCTCTAAATAACATTAAAGTACGATTTAAATTCAGATAACAGTTGCATGCAGTGTAATAGACAATTAATGCAAGTAAAATAATGCAGTTATAATGCAGTTTGATATGAGACGAGACAAGAAGGTGACCGCCTTATATTCCGAAGGCCCGTTAGTCCGATTTGTCTTAAAACACTTACATAATATTGCATAATTTCTATCCAAATACTTGCCCTGAATAGTTTCTTTTCTGCTAATTATTCGCGCCACACGTGAAAGTCGGAATTCTTAAAACTTTTACCGTGCAGGATTTTCTCAGTTTTTTTTTTCGCGCCATCTTCGCCTGCTCATGCAAGTCGAATTCCCCGTAATTTCTTCTACATTTTTTCGCGCCATTTCTGTTGACATTCACGTCGCTTACAAATATAAGTCGCCTTTCACTTAAAGCCCCAATATACGTAACATTCACCAAAAATTTAGTGTAGAATCACACATAATTATTGAGATATTCTCTAAAATGTAGTTAAAATTAAGTTATTCAAACAATAGTTATCATGACTTTGTGCATAAAGTATTGATATATGAGCAGTTGAAACTCGCTATTTGTAAACACACCTCCATTTTAAACACGTCGCCATCGAAATTACGATTGTTGCCGAACCACGTCGGAAAGGTTCATGACCTGTCTCGCGAGAGTTGAGGTTTCTACTTTTAGAGGAAGCACATGCAGATATGTCTACAGTAAGTTTTTGTTTACAAACATTGTCTGCGAAGTCTTGTCGTAGACTTGAGGTATTCCTGTGATAAACATACAGTTTTGGGGAAATTATTAGAAGGAATAATTAGTTTAGAAACGATACGACGCACAATTATAACGTAATAATTCAGAGCTGGCCTGATGTATGATTGGGGAAAAAGGAAGCGACTGGTGAACGTCTGTACTGTGTCTGCCATGTTTACACACGCGGAATATGCGCATGCTCAATGTCATCGCTACGAGCGGTAATGTATGTATTATTGTGGGTCCCACATTGTTTATTTTCCGATGTTTTCAATTTTTATTTAAATTGAAAACAATCAGTTTTATTTTCTTTAATTAAAGGAAAGTATTTGTTTTGTTACATATATTACGGGGAAAATAAGATAAAGTTTGTTTTTTTTATAGTGATTTTTACGTATATTGGGGCTTTAACTTTTATAGTACAAGATAAAAGAATAGGGCCATTTTTTTTTCTCGCGATGTTTTGTGCGGAAAGCTGTGACGAAGGTTTCTGTTATTATTACTTATCTATTTTCTCTCCAAATTGCGTCATTATTTCATTTACAGTTAAATAAGAAACAAAAATACGTAACCATTTTCGGACTATTGGACCTTCGGACTATTGGGCCTTCGGACGTTTAGGCCTTCGGAATATAAAGGTGTCACCACAAAACAAATGTCGCACGTTTTGTGCCGAATTGGGGTCATTCGGCACATTACATGCAAGATAATACATGTAGTTATGTGGTTACCTGTAGTTATCCAGTACCTGTAGCTATGTGGTTATCTGTCAATTATCGCATGATTCGTTTTTTATTTATTTTCATTTGTATGATTTCTGTTCTATTTTTAACTATTCGTTATCATATGTGTCTATGCTTTATATAAAAAGTTTATGTTTTGGCCTTAAGAATGCATTGCCTTTTCTTTGTAATATACAGTTTATTCTGCTAGTAACACTTTACCCATCCTCGATACTCCAGGGGTTACGATTACTAGAGTATTAAGGATGTACTTTCCTTTTTTTATTATATAATCAATTTAAACCTTATATAATTTATTAATCATTACTTAAAAGTAAACCCCCGACACCAATCGATACTAACGCCTTATTTATTGGTAACTTTTGTGTTTACATTTATTCTTTTATACAATATAATATAATATACATAAACACACAAAAAAGATCATATTTATGAACCACATATTACAAACAAGTATGTTAATAAGTCTATCACATTTCATGTTACAAAATAAGAATTGTAAGTGTGGTTTTTATTTTCTTTTAAATTGATCCATTTACTATATATGGACTTCTACTGAAATAACTTCAGTTTGAATTTTGGTAATACCTGTATTTTAATATTTTGGAATTTTTCTTGCTTATGTACCTTTGACTGTCTTATTGATAACCTAAAACGTATGAAATGATATGAAGGAAAACATCTATGTCACTACACAACGCATAGGCAACTACACAACACTATACAGCTCTAAGACAACGTTACAATATTTAAGGTGAGAAATTAAATTAAAACTATACTAAAAAATAATATGATATTAAGAAAGTAGACATATTTTCCCATAAACGTGAAAGGTAATATGTCTTGTTTATTGATTATAAACAATTATACTATTAAATTGATATGTGGTTACTTGTATAGGCGGTTACTGTAATTTACCTGTAGTTATGTGGTTATCACATCAAATGATAAAAGTTTTTTTTTAATATAGTTATTGGTACCCTGTAGTTAAGTGGTTACCTGTAGTTATGTGGTTACTTGTAGATAGCCGGTTACCTGTAGTTAGGTGATTACCTGTAGTTATGTGGTTACCTGTAGTTATGTGGTTACCTGTAGTTATGTGGTTGCCTGTACACAGGCGGTTACATGTAGTTATATGGTTACCTGTAGATAGGCGGTTGCCTGTAGTTATGTGGTTACCTGTAGCTATGTGGTTCCCTGTAGACAGGCGGTTACCTGTAGTTATGTGGTTACCTGTAGATAGGCGGTTACCTTTAGTTATGTGGTTAATTGTAGATAGGCGGTTACCTGTAGTTAGGTGATTACCTATAGTTATGTGGTTACCTGAAGTTATGTAGTAACTTGTAGATAGGCGGTTTCCTGTAGTTATGTGGTTACCTGTAGATAGGCGGTTACCTCTAGTTATGTGGTTGCCTGTAGACAGACGGTTACCTGTAGTTATGTGGTTACCTGTATATAGGCGGTTACCTCTAGTTATGTGGTTACCTGAAGTTATGTGGTTACCTTTAGCTATGTGGTTACCTGTAATTATATGGTTACCTGTAGCTATGTGGTTACCTGGAGTTAGGTGGTTACCTGTAGTTATGTGGTTACCTGTAGTTAGTTGGTACCTGTAGTTATGTGGTACCCTGTAGTTAAGTGGTTGCCTGTAGTTATGTGGTTACTTGTAGATAGGCGGTTACCTGTAGTTAGGTGATTACCTGCAGTTATGTGGTTACCTGGAGTTATGTGGTTGCCTGTACACAGGCGGTTTCCTGTAGTTATATGGTTACCTGTAGATAAGCGGTTACCTTTAGTTATGTGGTTACCTGTAGATAAGCGGTTACCTTTAGTTATGTGGTTACCTGTAGTTATGTGGTTATCTGTAGATAGGCGGTTACCTGTAGTTAGGTGGTTACCTGTAGTTATGTGGTTATCTGTAGATAGGCGGTTACCTGTAGTTAGGTGGTTACCTGTAGTTATGTGGTTACTTGTAGATAGACGGTTACCTGTAGTTATGTGGTTACCTGTAGTTATGTGGTTCCCTGTAGACAGGCGGTTACCTATAATAATGTGGTTACCTGTAGATAGGCGGTTACCTCTAGTTATGTGGTTACTTGTAGATAGGTGGTTACCTGTAGTTAGGTGATTGCCTGTAGTTATTTGATTACCTGTAGTTATGTAGTAACTTGTAGATAGGTGGTTACCTATAGTTATGTGGTTACCTGTAGTTATGTGGTTGCCTGTAGACAGGGGGTTACCTGTAGTTATGTGGTTACCTGTAGATAGGCGGTTACCTCTAGTTATGTGGTAACCTGAAGTTATGTGGTTACTTGTAGATAGGCGGTTACCTGTAGTTATGTGGTTACCTGTAGATAGGCGGTTACCTGTAGTTATGTGGTTACCTGTATTGATGTGGTTGCCTGTAGACATGCGGTTACCTGTAGTTATGTGGTTACCTGTAGTAATGTTGTTACCTGTATATAGGCGGTTACCTTTAGTTATGTGGTTACTTGTAGATAGGCGGTTACCTGTAGTTAGGTGATTACCTATAGTTATGTGGTTACCTGAAGTTATGTGGTTACCTGTATTGATGTGGTTGCCTGTAGACATGCGGTTACCTGTAGTTATGTGGTTACCTGTAGTAATGTTGTTACCTGTATATAGGCGGTTACCTTTAGTTATGTGGTTGCCTGTAGACAGACGGTTACCTGTAGTTATTTGGTTACCTGTATATAGGCGGTTACCTCTAGTTATGTGGTTACCTGAAGTTATGTGGTTACCTGTAGCTATGTGGTTACCTGTAATTATATGGTTACCTGTAGCTATGTGGTTACCTGGAGTTAGGTGGTTACCTGTAGTTATGTGGTTACCTGTAGTTAGTTGGTACCTGTAGTTATGTGGTACCCTGTAGTTAAGTGGTTTCCTGTAGTTATGTGGTTACTTGTAGATAGGCGGTTACCTGTAGTTAGGTGATTACCTGCAGTTATGTGGTTACCTGTAGTTATGTGGTTGCCTGTACACAGGCGGTTACCTGTAGTTATATGGTTACCTGTAGATAAGCGGTTACCTTTAGTTATGTGGTTATCTGTAGATAGGCGGTTACCTTTAGTTAGGTGGTTACCTGTAGTTATGTGGTTCCCTGTTGACAGACGGTTACCTATAGTAATGTGGTTACCTGTAGATAGGCTGTTACCTCTAGTTATGTGGTTACTTGTAGATAGGCGGTTACCTGTAGTTAGGTGATTACCTGTAGTTATTTGATTACCTGTAGTTATGTAGTAACTTGTAGATAGGCGGTTACCTATAGTTATGTGGTTACCTGTAGTTATGTGGTTGCCTGTAGACAGGGGGTTACCTGTAGTTATGTGGTGACCTGTAGATAGGCGGTTACCTCTAGTTGTGTGGTTACCTGAAGTTATGTGATTACTTGTAGATAGGCGGTTACCTGTAGTTATGTGGTTACCTGTAGATAGGCGGTTACCTGTAGTTAGGTGGTTACCTGTATTTATGTGGTTGCCTGTAGACATGCGGTTACCTGTAGTTATGTGGTTACCTGTAGATAGGCGGTTACCTGTATTTAGGTGGTTACCTGTAGTTATGTGGTAACATGTAGTTAGGCGGTTACCTGTAGTTATATGTGGTCACCTTAAGTTAAATATTTTCCCCTACTTATATATTAACCTTATTCACTTGGTAACAAGTAGTTACATAGTAACCTGTATTTACATTGTTGCAGAATTTAACCTTTGACAACCTTTATTGACCAGAAACCAGTTCCTTAACAACAACGTAAATAATATATTCATATAAGTTAACTAATCCAATTACATCTTATCGTGGTCATATTTATCTAATAATTTTTTTTATTAAATTTTGTTTATTTGTTGATGACAGGGCAGATAACTGGACAGTTGACCGCGATGGCAATCCAGAACATAACGGTCTGACCGATTTCGGAAAGGTAACTATGATAACGTTCTGTTGTTAGATATTAACCATAGTGTATAACAGCACCTATTGACAAAATGCTCTCCTTTGTCTTTATAATGTTGTTCTATGGGTAAATATTGTCCATAATCTAAGATAGTATCCAGTGGGAAATATTAAGTATTGTCCATATAATGGTTGCTCTATGTGTAAATATTGTCCATAGTCGAAAATAGTATCCAGTGGGATATGATCTCTCATTTCCCTGCGTTTTCTGCACTCTCTGACATCTGCTAGAATCACAAACTGTCCAGATGTGTTATGTTAAAACGCCATGCCTACCCAGATATCGACTGTGTGATATAAGCACTTAACATTGCCGCTGAGACTGAGCAAGTTCAGAATAAATAATTAATCATAATTGGTCTCCCTTAGATTTGAAATGGTTGTTTTTGTAACACCTAAAGTGTATAGACGACGCTGAGAATCATTGGGAGGCCATATCTGGCATCAATTATACATTGTCGACTCCCTAAATCTATCTGTTCTATTTCACTTTCACTCGCGGCCATCTTGGTGATAATTGCAAGCATTACGGTCACAAATTATACATGATGTTTATTTTACTGCACTTTTATGCATTTCAAGTCATTTGTTTTGTCTGGGAATTGTGTTTATCGTCCAGCTTACAGCTAGGGTCATTTTCAGGTCTCCTTGTAGTAGCTGGTTGCTACCTCATTGAATAGAGTCTCCTTGTAGTAGCTGGTTGCTTCCTCATTGAATAGAGTCTCCTTGTAGTAGCTGGTTGCTACCTCATTGAATAAAGTCACCTTGTAGTAGCTGGTTGCTTCCTCATTGAATAGAGTCTCCTTGTAGTAGCTGGTTGCTACCTCATTGAATAAAGTCTCCTTGTAGTAGCTGGTTGCTTCCTCATTGAATAGAGTCTCCTTGTACATTATTGTAGTAGCTGGTTGCTACCTCATTGAGTAAAATACTAGAGGCCCATCGCATTCAAAGCAATTAGCCAAGAACACAACACGGGCCAGTCCATTTCTAAAACCTTTTTTACAGTTTATAAAATGCACAAGTACTTTAACTTCAAATCATTCACAATTGAATATTAATGAAATTTGTTAGTTTTGACTTTTTTCTGACCAATTTTGATATTCCTAAGAAGTACCAAACAACTGTACGATACAGTTTGAGGATGAAGTTGTTTATCTGTTTTAATCAGACTTTAATCAGCCGCTTACTTCGATCTTTTCCTGCAACGAAACCAACATGTATGATAAGCGTGAAGATGTCAACGTTTCTACTGACTTTATTTTTTTCTTTTCTGGATAGTAACATTCTTGCATCCTCAATTCTTGTTTTTAACATGTCGCAGTTGATTCGATATTCTGGGGCTTGTTCCCAATATCAAAATTGTTCGTGCAAGGCAAACGTACAACATAAGGGTTTGAGAAATGCAGGTTTTATAACGATCGTGGGGAAGTTTAATGGTAGCCATAATGATCTCGTCGAGAAACATTCCATTTCTTTTTGCGATATGAAGCTGGACGTGTTTGATGCTCGTTAGTTTGCGTGTTTAGTCTGTTCTCGTATACCTTATCATTTTGGAACGTGACATTACTTGCTTTGATTTATCAAGATTGACATGGCGGATGTTGTTGATAGAGCAGAGCACGCTTATCCTTTAGGAGCACCTACCTCGAGTTGTTATATGTAATTACCCTGATCAATTAAAGCGTTAAAGGGACTAAATGATTATATTCAGTCATTTTTTCATGTGTTTGATTTCGAACACGCATTCTAATACTTAAAATTAGACTATTCACAAAACTACAACACTTTTTGAAAAAGGTTATCACTTCATACTAACACTGGTGACACTCGCTGTTGTGTTGACCGTCATTCGTTTTTTTATCTGAGATGGCCGAGCTCAACCTCGTCAACGTTCAGAACCTTGTCTTAACCCGCCGTTTTGTTGTGATTTCTAAATTTTTTTTCATGTCAATAATCAAGTATTTGAATGTTTAGAAATTTTCCAGCAAATACTTATAAGGCACTATGATTAGGTATCTATTAATGGTGAGGATTTTTCTTTTGTTTGGGGTTTTTTTCAGAAAAGGGCAGTTTATGTAATATTGATGACTTTAATAAGAATTTTTCATTTAAATATAAATATTTATATATTAATGCTCTGAATTAAAATGTATAACAGAATAGTCGCAGCAGTGTTTACAACTTTACTCGCCTTTTTCTACCAAGGCAAGTCAATATAGTTAAAAAACTGAAGGTTCTAAAGCATTTATGATTTGTTAAACAGAACGAAAACTCTCAACATATAAGCACCACCTTTACGAATTCGACTAAAACTATATTGTCTTTCACCATATTTTGACTACAAACTCATTTCTTTTTAAAAATGATGATCTTTCAAAAAACTGGAACTGGATCAGAACTGAAATACCACCAACAACGGAACTTGGATCGAAAAATTACGTCTATTTCAGAAATTCGTTTTAAGCAGCACTTGTATTAAACTGGAAACGCCAGTTACATTTTACCTTGAACTGAACGAGAAACTGGGGACCGACTTCAAGTTCCCATGTACAGGAAGCTTGAAAATAGCGTGACGAAATGACGATACGTTTGTAGGGAATACTGGTCTAGTTGGTGATCTTTCATGCGTACAGTAGGTGATAACAATGTTACTATCCTATGGAAGTCAATTCGGCTACGCTTTGACATTTTACCAGCAGACCAAGGGAAAGCAACAGGGACAGCAGCGAATTATGAAGCATAAGTTGTTATTTGGTGTTATTTACAATTTATTTTTGAAAAAAAAAGAAAAATAAATGATTAAACAGATAGAGCAATATTAAACAATATGAAACTTTTTCATTACCAGAAAGTTATTCTGGAGATGAATCGTCTTGGAATGTTGGTGGATTTGTCGCACGTGTCCAAGAAAACAATGCAAGATGCCCTTAATGTCACTACAGCGCCTGTCATCTACAGTCACAGTTCAGCATTCGCTTTGTGTAACCATTACCGCAACGTACAGGACGATGTACTCCGAATGACAGTACGTACATTTTATTCCACCAGTATCACAACGTACAGGACGATGTCCTCCGAATGACAGTACGTACATTTTATTCCACCAATATGACAAAGTACAGGATGATGTGCTCCGAACGAAGGTTCGTACATTTGATACAACCATGTAACGCAGCTTACATGACGATGTTCTCTACATAAAGGTAAATACATTTTATGCAACCATTGCCACAGCTTGCGGGGCGATGTACTTCGAACGAAGGTTCGTACATTTTTATATTTAACCATTTAACGCAGCGTACAGGATGATGTGCTCCGAATGAAGGTACGTACATTTTTATATTCAACCATTGCCACAGCCTACAGGACGATATGATCCGAATGAAGGTACGTACATTTGATCCAACCATAACCACCACATACAGGACGCCATATAAAACGCCTCTATAGTTCAATGAGATGATAAGTTTTGTAAGACGTGTTCTTTTTTCTTTATCTCTTTTTCATTATATTTACTTATCTATTCATTATTTTGACAGAGAGATAATGGGGGAGTCGTGATGGTGAATTTCTTCGATCTGTACATCAACTGTTACCCGTCAAATCAAACGAAACCAACACTCAGTCAAGTCGCAGGTTAGCTTATCATTTCAGTCAATCTTGTTTCCAAATTCTGTGTTCAGATTCATGCGGTGACGAAACTGATAAAGAACTCGGGTTTACTATTTTCTTGATAGAAGTTGATACGAAACAGATTGATGATGACTCGGGTGATATAGGCTGTTTAGGATTATCGTCGTGTTCTTCTCACATACATGTACCTCAGCGAGCGATTTCCGAGTTAAAAGATACTTCTCTTCTACACGGTCTAGGGACTGTAAACTGGCACAAGCTATGAAGCTTCTCACAGTGTAGACAGGGTTTCCTCTCTCAGTACAACTTTTCTCCGCTATATCGCGCTCGTTGGAACTAATTTTGAACATTCGTAATTACTCGGCCGATTCCGTACTTTCAGTCTTATTATCGATCTAGTTCCGGAATCTAACGAGATGCGACGAGTGCAATATCGAAGCGAAGCCAAGCGGAGAGAAGAAAAACTATGACAGGCAATCCAGTCTACCCACATAAGAATCAGTGCTCTTACCATTTTACATACCGTGTCGATGTCACAACTAGATAAAGTCAGCAATTTCGACATACATTTCACGGGCGACAGCGTGATATTTAAGCTTCCCGGCGCGGTTGTGCTCTAAATTACGTGTGACGGTCTTCCCGTTTGTTGTTCAGTGAGGTAACCACCAGATTCTACAAATAGACCCCACCTAAAAATGGCTCTGACTGTTAATGTGACGGTAAACCATGCCAACAACACTATTGGAACAAAGTCTACTGCGGTCAATGTTGACTTGACTTGTAGAGATTATTAAATGCCCTGCAATTTTATTTTCAATAAATTGATTATGAATTGTCAATAAAATAGGTTTTAGGTGACGGTATATTCTTGTTGAAGTTGACGGTATATTCCTGTTTAATGTGACGGTATATTCTTGTTGAAGTTGACAGTATATTCTTGTTTAATGTGTCGGTATATTCTTGTTGAAGTTGACAGTATATTCTTGTTTAATGTGTCGGTATATTCTTGTTGAAGTTGACGGTATATTCCTGTTTAATGTGTCGGTATATTCTTGTTGAAGTTGACGGTATATTCCTGTTTAATGTGTCGGTATATTCTTGTTTAATGTGTCGGTATATTCTTGTTGAAGTTGACGGTATATTCCTGTTTAATGTGTCGGTATATTCTTGTTTAATGTGTCGGTATATTCTTGTTGAAGTTGACAGTATATTCTTGTTTAATGTGTCGGTATATTCTTGTTGAAGTTGACGGTATATTCTTGTTTAATGTGTCGGTATATTCTTGTTGAAGTTGACGGTATATTCTTGTTTAATGTGTCGGTATATTCCTGTTTAATGTGTCGGTATATTCTTGTTGAAGTTGACGGTATATTCTTGTTTAATGTGTCGGTATATTCTTGTTTAATGTGTCGGTATATTCTTGTTTAATGTGTCGGTATATTCTTGTTGAAGTTGACAGTATATTCTTGTTTAATGTGTCGGTATATTCTTGTTGAAGTTGACTATATTCTTGTTTGTGTCGGTATGTGTCGGTATATTCTTGTTGAATGTTATATTCTTGTTTAATGTGTTATATTCTTGTGTGTCGGTATATTCTTGTTTAATGTATATTCTTGTTTAATGTGTGTCGGTATATTCTTGTTATAATGTGTTGGTATATTCTTGTTTAATGTGTCGGTATATTCTTGTTGAAGTTGACGGTATATTCTTGTTTAATGTGTCGGTATATTCTTGTTTAAGTGACGGTATATTCCTGTTTAATGTGTTATATTCTTGTTGTATATATTCTTGTTTAATGTGTCGGTATATTCTTGTTGAAGTTGACGGTATATTCCTGTTTAATGTGTTGGTATATTCTTGTTTAATGTGTCGGTATATTCTTGTTGAAGTTGACGGTATATTCCTGTTTAATGTGTTGGTATATTCCTGTTTAATGTGTTGGTATATTCTTGTTTAATGTGTCGGTATATTCTTGTTGAAGTTGACGGTATATTCCTGTTTAATGTGTCGGTATATTCCTGTTTAATGTGTCGGTATATTCCTGTTTAATGTGTTGGTATATTCCTGTTTAATGTGTCGGTATATTCTTGTTGAAGTTGACGGTATATTCATGTTTAATGTGTCGGTATATTCTTGTTTAATGTGACGGTATATTCCTGTTTAATGTGTCGGTATATTCTTGTTGAAGTTGACAGTATATTCCTGTTTAATGTGTCGGTATATTCTTGTTTAATGTGACGGTATATTCCTGTTTAATGTGTTGGTATATTCTTGTTGAAGTTGACGGTATATTCCTGTTTAATGTGTTGGTATATTCTTGTTTAATGTGTTGGTATATTCTTGTTTAATGTGTTGGTATATTCTTGTTTAATGTGTTGGTATATTCCTGTTTAATGTGTCGGTATATTCTTGTTTAATGTGTCGGTATATTCCTGTTTAATGTGTTGGTATATTCCTGTTTAATGTGTTGGTATATTCTTGTTTAATGTGTCGGTATATTCCTGTTTAATGTGTTGGTATATTCCTGTTTAATGTGTCGGTATATTCTTGTTTAATGTGTTGGTATATTCCTGTTTAATGTGTCGGTATATTCCTGTTTAATGTGTCGGTATATTCTGGTTATTTACAGATCACATCGAGTATATTCAGAGACTGATAGGTGTGGACTATGTAGCTATTGGGGCGGACTTTGATGGAGTTCCCACGTGAGTATAACGTAGTCCTCGTGTGAGTATGATGAAGTTACTGCGTGAGTATGTTTGGAAACCACATGAGTATGAATGAGTTTCCGCGTGAGTATGACAGAGTTACCACGTGAGTATGCCGAAATATGATAAAGTCCTGATGTCGAGTTGAGAAGAAATGTTCAGATCATCAATGACGTCATTACAGCACAAATAATTAATGGCCCTTATTTATGAGGATGCTTAGCACATGATATGTTACAGTGGCTGTTTGTGACCTGGATATTTATGCTTGAATGACTTCATTTGTGTATCAGCTTAAATTAAACGAGAATTCAACTGACACAACGAGTATACAGGTCAAAGGTCAGGGTCATCTAATAAAAGGCAAGTGTAAAACGTGGCATGTATTAACTGGTAAACATTTGGATTCAAACTTTACTGTGGTGGAGTTAGTAGTTATGTAAAAGGTAAAGTTCCTGGGGTCAAAGGCCAACAACAATTTGAACTTTTACCTAGTCTTTGTCAAGTTCGAAGGCATCTTAATCAGAGGTCAGAGTAACTGGGTTAAAAGACAAGGTGAGATTTCTTTTATCTAGTAAACACATCACTTGAGAACAATGCCATTAGCACGAGGTTTGAAAGTAGAAATGTAATGTTTAATTCGTTTTCAGACTTCCGGTCGGACTGGAGGATGTTTCCACATATCCCGCTCTGTTTGCCGAACTGGTCAGAAGAGGCTGGACACAAGAGGAATTGACAAAGCTGGCCGGGAAGAATCTTATCAGGGTTCTTACTCAAGCTGAAAAGGTTTTACCAACTCATACGTCATTTCTCTGCTCTTTTTATATTATTTGAATTCATTATATAATATTATATATACATTGATGATTCACGTGAAATAACAAAGGAATTAGAGTGTGTTTGCAGTTTGACATAAAATGTATAAAAGTGACAGGATTTTTTAAATCTGTAATATTGTCCATATCTTTACTTGTAATAATTGTATATATGTCTTTATTCACAGGTACGTGACCGCCAGGCCTACATGAGTCCATATGAAGACGTCTTGCCTGTTGCTGTGCTTTATCCAAACCAGACAGCCTGCTGGGCTTAATTTCTGGATAGCCCAGATGGCCCACTGTGCAGCATTCCTTGACAATACTGATGGGATGCTGGGAATTATTCCTGTGGAACAAACTTAAGACAATGCTGGGCAGCATTTCCGACAAGACATGATGACCCGCTTGAATGATTTCTGGCGGTCCTGATGATAGGCTGGACATGTTTGCTGATGGTCCTGATGGTGCTCATATTCGGTTGGACATGATTTCTGACGGTCCTCATGGTCGGTTGGACATGATTTCTGGCGGTCCTGATGGTCGGTTGGACATTTTTCCTGGCGGTCCTGATGGTCGGTTGGACATAATTTCTGACGGTCCTCATGGTCGGTTGGACATAATTTCTGACGATTCTCATGGTCGATTGGACATGATTTCTGGCGGTCCTGATGGTCGGCTGGACATGATTTCTGGCGGTCCTGATGGTCGGCTAGACATGTTTGCTGGCGGTCCTGATGGTCGGTTGGACATTTTTCCTGGCGGTCCTGATGGTCGGCTGGACATGATTTCTGGTGATCCTGATGGTCGGCTGGACATGATTTCTGGCGGTCCTGATGGTCGGCTAGACATGTTTGCTGGCGGTCCTGATGGTCGGTTGGACATTTTTCCTGGCGGTCCTGATGGTCGGCTGGACATGATTTCTGGTGATCCTGATGGTCGGCTGGACATGATTTCTGACGGTCCTCATGGTCGGTTGGACATGATTTCTGGCGGTCCTGATGGTCGGCTGGACATTTTTCCTGGCGGTCCTGATGGTCGGCTGGACATGATTTCTGGCGGTCCTGATGGTCGGTTGGACATGATTTCTGGTGATCCTGATGGTCGGCTGGACATAATTTCTGACGGTCCTCATGGTCGGTTGGACATGATTTCTGACGGTCCTGATGGTCGGTTGGACATTTTTCCTGGCGGTCCTAATGGTCGGCTGGACATGATTTCTGACGGTCCTCATGGTCGGTTGGACATAATTTCTGGCGGTCCTCATGGTCGGTTGGACATTTTTCCTGGCGGTCCTGATGGTCGGCTGGACATGATTTCTGGTGATCCTGATGGTCGGCTGGACATGATTTCTGACGGTCCTGATGGTCGGCTGGACATTTTTCCTGGCGGTCCTGATGGTCGGCTGGACATGATTTCTGGTGATCCTGATGGTCGGCTGGACATGATTTCTGACGGTCCTGATGGTCGGTTGGACATTTTTCCTGGCGGTCCTGATGGTCGGCTGGACATGATTTCTGGTGATCCTCATGGTCGGTTGGACATGATTTCTGGCGGTCCTGATGGTCGGCTGGACATTTTTCCTGGCGGTCCTGATGGTCGGCTGGACATGATTTCTGGCGGTCCTGATGGTCGGTTGGACATTTTTCCTGGCGGTCCTGATGGTCGGTTGGACATGATTTCTGGCGGTCCTGATGGTCGGCTGGACATGATTTCTGACGGTCCTCATGGTCGGTTGGACATGATTTCTGACGGTCCTGATGGTCGGCTGGACATTTTTCCTGGCGGTCCTGATGGTCGGCTGGACATGATTTCTGGCGGTCCTGATGGTCGGTTGGACATTTTTCCTGGCGGTCCTGATGGTCGGTTGGACATGATTTCTGACGGTCCTCATGGTCGGCTGGACATGATTTCTGACGGTCCTCATGGTCGGTTGGACATGATTTCTGACGGTCCTGATGGTCGGCTGGACATTTTTCCTGGCGGTCCTGATGGTCGGCTGGACATGATTGCTGGCGGTCCTGATGGTCGGTTGGACATTTTTCCTGGCGGTCCTGATGGTCGGCTGGACATGATTTCTGGTGATCCTGATGGTCGGCTGGACATGATTTCTGACGGTCCTCATGGTCGGCTAGACGTGGTTTCCTGGCGGGCCTGATGGTGGGTTAGACATAATTTCTGGCGGTACTAATGGTCGGCTGGACATGATTTCTGGTGATCCTGATGGTCGGCTGGGCATGAATTCTGGCGAATCCTTACGGCTCCCTGGGCATGATTCCAGATTTGAGAGCACTGATGGGACACCAGGGTTTATAATGATCAATTTTACTGTGAATTTATATTGAGGGAAGTATAATGATAGAATTTGAACTGTGAATTCATTTTGATGTTAACACCGGGTATTATAATGATATCAGTTTTACTGTGAATTCATTTTAATGTTAACACCGGGTATTATAATGATATCATTTTTACTGTGAATTCATTTTAATGTTAACACTGGGGATTATAATGATATCAATTTTACTTTGAATTCATTCTGATGTTGACACTGGGGATTATAATGATATCAATTTTACTTTGAATTCATTCTGATGTTGACACCGGGGATTATAATGATATCAGTTTTACTGTGAATTCATTTTAATGTTAACACTGGGGATTATAATGATATCAGTTTTACTGTGAATTCATTTTAATGTTAACACTGGGAATTATAATGATATCAGTTTTACTGTGAATTCATTTTGATGTTAACACTGGGGATTATAATGATATCAGTTTTACTGTGAATTCATTTTAATGTTAACACCGGGGATTATAATGATATCAGTTTTACTGTGAATTCATTTTAATGTTAACACTGGGGATTATAATGATATCAGATTTACTGTGAATTCATTTTGATGTTAACACCGGGGATTATAATGTTATATCTTATCGAGATTTTACTCTTATCAAATAAAATCCACTTTTATTGTCCAAGCCATGTTTCTGTATTTTGTGTCAATATAGAAAAATATCACATTATGTTGCATTAGTATCGTAATATGAAGGGATCTCCATACAGCTGACGGGTCGGTTAGTGTTAAATATAGTTTCTGTCACTCAGTTGACGGGTCGGTCAGTGTTGAATACGGTTTCTGTCACTCAGCTGACAGGTAGGTTAGTGTTAAATACGGTTTCTGTCACTCAGTTGATGGGTCAGTCAGTGTTGAATTCGGTTTCTGTCACTCACCTGACGGGTCGGTCAGTGTTGAATACGGTTTCTGTCACTCAGCTGACAGGTATGTTAGTGTTAAATACGGTTTCTGTCACTCAGTTGACGGGTCGGTCAGTGTTGAATACGGTTTCTGTCACTCAGCTGACGGGTCAGTCAGTGTTGAATACGGTTTCTGTCACTCAGCTAACGGATCGATCAGTGTAGAATTCGGTTTCTGTCACTCAGGTGACGGGTCGGTCAGTGTTGAATTCGGTTTCTGTCACTTGGTTGACGGGTCGGTCAGTGTTAAATACGGTTTCTGTCACTCAGCTGACGGGTCGGTCAGTGTTGAATACGGTTTCTGTCACTCACCTGATGGGTCTGTTAGTGCTAAGAATCGGTGAACAGTGTTTAAATGCGGCCTCTATTACTCAGCGGACAGTAGTTGTGACTTGGTCAGTGTACAAGTGCTAAGTATGGGTTGTGTCACTCAGCTGACGTGTCGGTGTAAATTGTTAAGTACGGGTTGTGTCACTAAGCTGACGGGTCGGTGTAAAGTGTTAAATACGGGTTGTGTCACTCAGCTGACGGGTCCGTGTAAAGTGTTAAGTACGGGTTGTGTCACTCAGCTGACGGGTCAGTGTAAAGTGTTAAGTACGGGTTCTGTCACTCAGCTGATTGGTCAGTGTACAGTGTTAAGTACGGGTTCTGTCACTCAGCTGATTGGTCAATGTACAGTGTTCAGTAGTGTTTCTGTCACTCAGCTGATTGGTCAGTATACATAGTGTTGAAAAATGGTTTCTGTCACGCAGCTGACGGAGCATGCTTCATCATCTGTTTAGCCAGTCGAGTATCACGCCGGCGACGTGGGTTCGATTCCTAGTCGGGACACTCGACAGAAATGTGTTATTTTCATTTGTCTATCACAGCACTGGGTCTTTTCTGTCATTATTGAAATAAATCCATCTTTGAAACTTCAGGAACAAGAGCGTTTAAGGCAAAATTGAAACTCAAAGTCTATCAGTTTAACCTGTCTCAACAAATCTACAGCGATAAATGATAAATAACGAATCCAATCACATTTGAAAATGTTCAGTCACCGCTGGTTATCGCTTGTCAGTCTTTGAACAACCAGGCCCTGTTTGCTATTATTGATAACTGAGGGGTACAAGGTGTCAGTGACCATGTTTATTGATAACTGAAGGGTACAAGGTGTCAGTGACCATGTTTATTGATAACTGAAGGGTACAAGGTGTCAGTGACCATGTTTATTGATAACTGAGGGATACAAGGTGTCAGTGACCATGTTTATTGATAACTGAGCGGTACAAGGTGTCAGTGACCATGTTTATTGATGAATGGGGGTACAAGGTGTCAGTGACCATGTTTATTGATGGCTGGGGGGTACAAGGTTTCAGTGACCATGTTTATTGATAATTGAAGGGTTACAAGGTGTCAGTGACCATGTTTATTGATGAATGGGGGTACAAGGTGTCAGTGACCATGTTTATTGATAACTGAAGGGTACAAGGTGTCAGTGACCATGTTTATTGATAACTGAGGGGTACAAGGTGTCAGTGACCATGTTTATTGATAACTGAGCGGTACAAGGTGTCAATGACCCTGTTTATTGATCACTGAAGGATACAAGGTGTCAGTGACCATGCTTATTGATAACTGAAGGGTAAAAGGTGTCAGTGACCATGTTTATTGATAACTGAGGGATACAAGATGTCAGTGACCATGTTTATTGATAACTGAGGGATACAAGGTGTCAGTGACTATGTTTATTGATAACTGAAGGGTACAAGGTGTCAGTGACCATGTTTATTGATCACTGAGGAATACAAGGTGTCAGTGACCATGCTTATTGATAACTGAGCGGTACAAGGTGTCAGTGACCATGTTTATTGAAAACAGTGCGGTACAAGGTGTCAGTGACTATGTTTATTGATAACTGAAGGATACAAAGTGTCAGTGATCATGTTTATTGATAACTGAGGGGTACAAGGTGTCAGTGACCATGTTTATTGATAACTGAGCGGTACAAGGTGTCAGTGACCATGTTTATTGATAACTGAAGAGGTGTCAGTGACCATGTTTATTGATAACTGAAGGTGTCAGTGATTATGTTTATTGATAACTGAGGGATACAAGGTGTCAGTGACCATGTTTATTGATAACTGAAGGGTACAAGGTGTCAGTGACCATGTTTATTGATAACTGAGTAGTACAAGGTGTCAATGACCATGTTTATTGATAACTGAAGGGTAAAAGGTGTCAGTGACCAAGTTTATTGAAAACTGAGGGATACAATATGTCAGTGACCATGTTTATTGATAACTGAGGGATACAAGGAGTCAGTGACCATGTTTATTGATAACTGAGGGGTACAAGGTGTCAGTGACCATGTTTATTGATGACTGTGCGGTACAAGGTGTCAGTGACTATGTTTATTGATAACTGAAGGGTACAAGGTGTCAGTGACCATGTTTATTGATAACTGAGGGATACAAGGTGTCAGTGACCATGTTTATTGATAACTGAGCGGTACAAGGTGTCAGTGACCATGTTTATTGATAACTGAGGGATACAAGGTGTCAGTGACCATGTTTATTGATACTGAAGGGTACAAGATGTCAGTGACCATGTTTATTGATGAATGGGGGTACAAGGTGTCAGTGACCATGTTTATTGATGGCTGGGGGGTACAAGGTTTCAGTGACCATGTTTATTGATAACTGAGGGATACAAGGTGTCAGTGACCATGTTTATTGATAACTGAGCGGTACAAGGTGTCAGTGACCATGTTTATTGATAACTGAAGGGTACAAGGTGTCAGTGACCATGTTTATTGATAACTGAAGAGAACAAGGTGTCAGTGACCATGTTTATTGATGACTGAAGGGGTACAAGGTTTCAGAGACCATGTTTATTGATAACAGAGGTATACAAGGTGTCAGTGACCATGTTTATTGATAACTGAAGGGTACAAGGTGTCAGTGACCATGTTTATTGATAACTGAGCGGTACAAGGTGTCAGTGACCATGTTTATTGAAAACTGTACAGTACAAGATGTCAGTGACCATGTTTATTGATAACTGAGGGATACAAGGTGTCAGTGACCATGTTTATTGATAACTGAAGGGTACAAGGTGTCAGTGACCATGTTTATTGATAACTGGGGGGTACAAGGTGGCAGTGAGCATGTTTATTAATAACTGAATGATACCAGGTGTCAGTGAGCATGTTTATTGATAACTGAGGGATACAAGGTGTCAGTGACCATGTTTATTGATAATTGAAGGGTACAAGGTGTCAGTGACCATGTTTATTGATAATTGAAGGGTACAAGGTGTCAGTGACTATGTTTATTGATAACTGAAGGGTACAAGGTGTCAGTGACCATGTTTATTGATAACTGAAGGGTACAAGGTGTCAGTGACCATGTTTATTGATAACTGAAGGGTACAAGGTGTCAGTGACCATGTTTATTGATGACTGGGGGGTACAAGGTTTCAATGACCATGTTTATTGATAACTGAAGGGTAGAAGGTGTCAGTGACCATTTTCATTGTTAACAGAGGTATACAAGGTGTCAGTGACCATGTTTATTGATAACTGGGGGGTACAAGGTGTCAGTGACCATGTTTATTGATAACTGAAGGGTAGAAGGTGTCAGTGACCATTTTTATTGATAACTGAAGGGTACAAGGTGTCAGTGACCATGTTTATTGATAACTGGGGGTACAAGGTGTCAGTGACCATGTTTATTGATAACTGAAGGGTACAAGGTGTCAGTGACCATGTTTATTGATAACTGAGGGATACAAGGTGTCAGTGACCATGTTTATTGATAACTGAGGGATACAAGGTGTCAGTGACCATGTTTATTGATAACTGAAGGATACAAGGTGTCAGTGACCATGTTTATTGATAACTGAAGGGTACAAGG